GGCCGCTGATGGGGCAGCCCCCGCTGCACGTCCTGCTTCGTCCGTCTTCACCCTGAGGCCGGGAGATAGGCGCTGTTTCAGACGGCGGCCCGCACAGTGGCACCCGGGTTGCAGAGCTGACTGTACGGTGAAACGAATTAAGACGTGGGAACTAATTTTTCTTCGTTTTGCGTTGAATGCCTTGAGCAGAAAAAGGACTTTAAAAGGGGCTTTTAATATCTACTCAGCGGTACTTGCTTTACTGTGCGATATAACCCCATGGATTTAATTTGGGTACGTTACCGTGGAGAGCTCAGGCTGAAGTCGAGTTTTCTTGTGTTGGACAACAGGGTGGACAGTCCCCACCAGGATCCTTCATTTCTCCAGCGACGACGAAATCCTCGGACGGGCCGTGCCAAGCGGAGATTTTCCTGCTCCCCGAGCCGGTGCCAGAGACGGGGATTTAAGGACTGACATGCTTCTAGGGGAGGAGGGAGCCGGGGTCCATTGCGGACGAGTCGAAGGAGGGAGTGCGAGTAACATGGGCTGATTCGAGAGGAGAAGCAGGGAGCGGGGGATGGGGGCGGGGGGAGGCCGGGCTGGGCGGAGAAGGACGGCGCAGAGGGGATTGGGGCGTTGCGGGGGTTGGAGGCCGAGTGGGCTGTGCTGCTCTGCGGCGTCCTCCAAACCCCCTGCGCTACAAGAGGGGAGCAGGCAAAGAAAATGGTCGGATATCTCCGGGAAGGGCAGAGCAGGGCCCCGGATTTTTAAATTCAGAAAGCAGCTCTTTGCCTTTCACTTCTTCGCCAATTAAAGTATATTTAAGTCTTTGTCTTTCATTGTCAAGAAATAAACCTGTAGGGCAAGCGGAAGAGTCCACATTATTCGGTTCAGACGAATGCTGTGAATAAGCTCCGTTCTTCTGAAGCTTCCTGATGTCCCCTGTTGTTTACGCCCTCTGCCATTTCCTGATAAGAAATACGGTCTGTCATGCAAATGACTTCAGGTGGAAAACACTGCGAAAATGGAAAAAAGATAATAAACTATTTATCTGCCTTCAGGGTGTTACAAAAAGCGTTAATCCTCTGATTGTCTTCATCTACGTTTTCGAAATGCTCATTGTTTTATTTTTGTCCCCTCCATAAACACACAATTAGAAGCTGCTATTATAAGTCTGAAGTACCACACGTACACACCCCATGAGGTTTTGGGTGACCTTTAAGTATCGGTTAAGGCTAGAACTCCAGGAGCTAAATAGGCCTTACACCCATGTGACCATTTCACTTCTTCCATCGGGTGTGTAGCAGCGATTTGAGAAGGCAGAGTTTAAAAGTCCTTGCATGTAGGGAGTGGAATCGATTCAGATAAATTGTCGGGGCATCCCGAGCCAGCTCAGCTGAGCCCAGGCACCCGGGCTTGCCTGTGATGCGGTCAGTCTGGTTTGCTGGTGCTTGGAGCACAGTAGGAGGCACCCCTATTCAAAGACGTATTTCGATTAGAAAGATTGGGGCTATGTCATTCCTTTGTTAGTTCTTGTCCTCTTTCCTAGGCGGGATGATTAAAGCTGCTAACTTTGCTGGGTCCCAAGCACACAAGGTAAAAACACTTTATCGTGTGGAGTGTTCAGACTGGTTTGTGTTGTGGTGGCTGCTACAAAAGGAAGAGGTGCATGCAAGGGGTGTGTACATTTCTTCATAGCTCTGGTGCTGCACAAAGGTAGTGCAAGATTCTTTACTCTGTCTGAAGTCCAAATTTCAGCTGTGACTTTCCATGTGTGCCCTCTTCTTATTTTGAGAATTATTTCTTCCCATTTCCTATGACGCTTTCAAGTACAAAGTCTACATGCAGTGCAAATAGGAGTACAAGTAAAAAAAGGTTGTGGAGTTTACTGGTGATGAAAATTCCAAGTTGTCCTGATACTTCTTTCAGACACAAACTACTTATTTTCTAGTTTTAACATGCAAATATGTCCAGAATTTAAAAATGAGCTTTCCTGTGTTTAAAAAAAAATAAAAAAAATAAAAAAAATCGAAGTACCTTTGTGATTAATACTTAGTATTGGTTTTGACAAGGAATGCTTTTGGAACAACCTCTCAGGAGAGGCCATCAAATAATTTAGCTCTTTGTAGCCACCCAAGAAACCCAAACCAAAACCTAAAAACCTCTTTCCACCAGGCCTCTGGTTCTGTGATCCCAGTCACCGAGGAAGGACCTGCCCCTGTTAATTGTAATGCTGCTTCTTTCCCTGCAGGTATGTGAGCTGGGAAGGCAGAAGGGGCGTTCCCAGCTGCATTCCCCTCAATTCCAGCCCTGTTCTCCAGTATTTGTCATGTCCTGAGCTGCACTGTGCTCTAACACAGCACAACTCTGAGACTGGGTTTTTGAAGCCCGAGGAATATTTTTTTTTCGTTTACAAGCTGAACAAGGCACATTTTCATTACAGATCAAAAGCAGTACATCAAGGTGTGGATAAGACCAAATCTTTTTCCCTAGCTGCAGTTAACACTTTCTCCTTCAATGCTAATTACTTTGGAATATATCATTTTCTATTAAAACTGGAAGAGAAAGTCTCTGGGAAGCTAGCATAGCAATAATTTGCCCTTTGTGTTGAGTAATTATAATCTCTGGCCTTTAGGAAAAACAATTTGATCTTGTAAGTGCATGAGCAGATACTGATTTACTCCATTTAAATAAAAAAAAAAAAAAAAAAAAAAAAAAAAAGCAGGAAGTAGCATAAAATTGCTATAGCCAGTGTGTGATTTGTTCAGGTTTTGGATAAGGTATATGGCATTTACTTCTTGTTTCTGATATGCTATCCCGTCAGTTAACTACAGAATACAGTTATTTACTCACCCAGCTGGTGTATTTCACTTTTGCAGAAATAAAAGTACATTTTTTTTTTAAACATGATGATTAATAAATATAAATTTTTCTGTTGGTATGCTGATCTAGAAAAGATATAGGTCTTTTCAAGAATGTTACTAACTTTATTATTTTAGTAAAAGTAAGATAGCGGAATTTTTTGTAACTGTTTGGTTTGTTCTTTGGTATTTTTTATGGCTGGTTATTCACTATAGGACTAAACTGCAATGTAATTCTGATAATTTGACAAACAAAGGTTACTGATATATAAAAGTACTTGGACAAAAATGTTTGTATAACCAAAAATAAACATAGCCTACACTTCAGTTGCTGTGAATGAAGATGTACTTTGAAAATAGACATGGAGGGTAGGTAAAAATACAGCACAAGGGGCCTGTTTAAAACTTATGTGTTCTAGCACTCCCCAGTGTGGAGAATTGTTAGGATTAACGGCCTTGCTTAGCACTAGAAGCTAAAGCAGTTGAAGCCTTAGACCCCAAGAGCTGACCAAAAGTAAACTTTTTGACATAACTACTGCTGCTAACACAGAACTAGCTGAAAGCAGCAGCTGAAAGCAGAATGAAGAAGGTAAGAACCAAGGAAAGAATTCTAAGAGAATAAGGTAACCAGAAGGCAGCCAGCCTAGCAACAACGAAAACCAAGAGACTGGATCAGAATTGGTTGGACTTGGGGGACCAGGTGATGGGTGGTATGGGTGTAATTAGGGGTTGAGAGCTGTGGTAAGGACCCCTCTTTGGAGGCACCCAGCTCGAGCTGCTCTACCTGTCAGATAAATAATCACTAATTTACTCAGCAGATTGGAGGCTCGTCTTCTTTCAGCAAGAATCTAGGGCCAAGGTAGCATCTGCATATTTCCTACCGTGGTCTAGGTGGCAGTGGCATAATTCCTGCTACACCAGCATGATGTATTTGAACGCTGTGCCATCTTACTGTTGCTGGGTGGTGTCATCTGGGTAGAGTGGATTTAAGAATCGAAAGAACACTATTTTGAACTGAATAGGAAAGAAGATTAAAGAACATGACTGATGGAAGAATATGCTGTCATATGGGTTTATATTCACACTATTTGCTTTATTGATTCATCCTCCTATGGGAAGAAGTATTTATGTTTGCTATTCTTGCTGAGCCTAAATCCTACTATTTTTACCTCTGGTGAAAACAAAAAGTACACAAAATTTTCCACAGCCGTGGTTTTTTGTCTTTTCAGCGACTTTGCTCTCAGCACTGATAGAAAAGTAATGGATGTGTTAGCACCAGATCTGATGTGTGTGTGTGCAGGTAGAACTTCTATGTTCACATTGTAGTCCCCTAATATTGCTTTATCATTCTTACTGAGACTGGAAGAAGTAATTATAAGCAACATCTTCTTTTCTGTTGAGCAAAGAGTTTCATGAGCCTAGAAACAATTTCAGATATTGAAACTGCTTTTTTTAAAAAAAAAAAAAAAAATCCCCTGGAATTTCTGTGCAAGCTGTGTTAATGAAGTGTGTGGCACAGAGCATACAAAGACAGGAAAGGCAAAAAGAATGCTGTATTGGGTCTATCTGAGATGGAGTTAATTTCCCCATACCAGCCCTCACCGTGCTGTGCTTTGTAGTGGTAACTAGAAAGGTGTTGGTAACACACCAGCATTTTGTCTACTGCTGAACAGGGCTTGCACAGCAGCCGGGCTGTTTCTCCAACACCCCCAGCCCCCCAAACCACCCCAGTAGGCTGGGGGTGGGCAAGGTCTTAGGAGGGGACAGAGCCAGGACAGCTGGCCCAGACTGACCCGAGGGATATTCCAGCCCACAGAACGTCTGCTCAGCAATATAAGCTAGGGGAAAAGAGGAGAAAGGGGTGGCATTCCTTTTTTATGTTTGTTGTCTGGAGTAACCTCTACACATACCGAAGCCCTGCCTCTAGAGAAGTGTCAGGACATCACCTACTGGCGAGAAGTAGAGAATAAATCTTTTGTTTTCCTTTGCTTCTGTGCACAGCCTTTGCTTTTGCTTTATTAAACTGTCTTTATCTTGACCCACGTGCCTGTGGTTATATTTTCTCTCCCCTGTCCAGCTGAGGAGGGGAGTGATAGAGCAGCTTCGGTCCAGCCAGGGTCAGCCCACAGCAAATGCATGTGGATTCCTGAGTTGGGAGGCCACAAGGCATCATGGAGCTCCCACTTTAACGCAGGCAAGAGGGCTGCTCTGTGATAGCCATAGCTTGAACCAGGGTCTTTTTTTTTTTTTTTTTTTTTTTTTTTTAAGACAACCTATTTTACACAATTGATTAGAGAGAATAATAGCCACCGACAAATTCTTCTGATCATCATCATCACTGTCAAAATATCAGCACTTTTAGTGTGTGGTATTTTCTAGAGTCCATTTCTAGTGACCCACACATCCTATTATAGAAAAACCTAGAGACCAGAATAGACAGTTGTTCATTCATTTTTTTTTTTTAAAGGTGTTGGACATAAACAGAGGTCCAGAATAAGCAGACTATGTTTCAGAGTTTACACTAAGGCAGTCCGAGAGCAGATTGCTAAACTCATTTGAAGCTGCTGAAGAACAGAGCATGGAGTGTGCCTTTTCCCACTGTATATCTTAAATCCAGCCTGAAAGGTCCCCATCAGCCTTCAGGCTAAAATTAACTTTGATAAGTTGATAGCAGTTTTAAGAAAACTGGTGCTTGTCGCTGTACCTCTATTACCAAATAAGATGCAGGCAGTACTAGAAAGGCTGACTTTTTGATTCTATGGTCCCTGTATTAACTGTGTTCAGAAATCCACAGAATACACTCGAATTCAGGATTATTCCCATTCAGTTTGAAAGTAGGTGATAACAGCTTTGATCTGCATTTACAGCAGCATTGTGATGGAGTGATTCAGAAAGCCTGCAGTTTGAGGCTGAAAGACTTTAGGGCTGTTAGTAGCTGTATGATAAACTCTGATACCTTATGAAGTCAGCCCACAGTGTCTAGGTTCTTAGTTTTTCATAGTTTTAATAAAATTAATTACATAAATACAGAAAAGGTCAGAAGTATGAAATAATATTCATCTTTGCTTTGTGTTTTTAGTTACAAAGGGAATATTCTCTACCTAAAGCAGTCATAGTGAGAAGCTATGCAAGTTACTGTAAAAACCACATGCTCAATAGAATTGAGAAAAGTGCTCAAGATAAATAACTTTCAGAACGGACTTCTCTGTTGCACTAATCACTGGGCTATTGGTAACAGCTTTTTAAGATAAATGTCACTTGTTAATACATAAATTCTTTTACAGTACAGTGCACTGTAGACCTCCCATTACTGCTACAAAAGAAAACACTGAGCACCATCAAGCGGCAGATATTGTTATAACCGTTACAACGATGTACGTGGAAGTTTACATTAGCAACAATTTTGATTTTTCCCTCCTCTAGAAAACTAAAGCCCTTTTTTTTCTTCAATTTACAACGCATATAACACGAGCATACCTAGAATTAATAGTGATGTATTGCCCGAAAAACGTACATACCTTAAAAACTGCAATAGTACTACAAATCAAGGAAACAGTAAATAGGAGAACAATGACTTTAGGGAAATTAATTTTCAGTGTGATATAAAATAAAACTGTAAATTAAAAATTTTCACGAAGGACTTGATTTTTTTTTCTCTTCCCCCCGGAAATGACTGCACAGCTCTTTTACTGAAAAGGTGGGTGGCTCTTAAAAGAGCCTTTGGGTCGAGCAGGTGCGGCACAGGGCACAGAGGCAGCTTACTTGGAGCTGGTGTACTTGGTAACAGCCTTGGTGCCCTCGGAGACGGCGTGCTTGGCCAGCTCGCCGGGCAGCAGGAGCCGCACGGCCGTCTGGATCTCCCGCGAGGTGATGGTGGAGCGCTTGTTGTAGTGCGCCAGGCGCGAGGCCTCGCCGGCGATGCGCTCGAAGATGTCGTTGACGAAGGAGTTCATGATGCCCATGGCCTTGGACGAGATGCCCGTGTCGGGATGCACCTGCTTCAGCACCTTGTACACGTAGATCGAGTAGCTCTCCTTGCGGCTCTTCTTGCGCTTCTTGTCGCCCTTCTTCTGCGTCTTAGTGACGGCTTTCTTGGAGCCCTTCTTGGGCGCAGGGGCGGACTTGGCCGGCTCGGGCATCGCAGCCAACGCGCGTCTCACACAGACACCAACAACCCCAGCAACAGCAGCAATGCACAACGGAACTGATGTAAAACCGTCGCGCACCACCTATTTATAGCTCTCTTATGCAAATTAGCAGCATTCCCTCTGCCTGCTTCCATTGGTCAAAATGCAATAACGCGTCATAACTCCCCTATAGCCGCCTCTTATTGGTCAGAATTTGATTCACCTCCTCATTGGCTGCCCAGAGAAGACCTACTTCTCAGCCTATCAGTGAAGGGGCGAGGTGGGAAAGCGAGGGTATAGCTGAGGCGCGCCGGCGGGTTGCTTCGTTCCGCTGCTGCTTGCTTTTAGAAGCCACCGACCGAGCGAGGATGTCCGGCCGCGGGAAGCAGG